CTTCTAGAACAGTTTCCATTCCTTGTTATGAATGGTTTCCCAGGGAGCATATCTGGTCTCCTGGCTGTTATACCCTCTTTGCTGTTATGCTTAATCTTTCATGTGACTCTGTCTTTCATTCCTTCTTTTCAGCTATCATATCCCAATAATTTGTGTTTCTTTTGGCAGAATATTTCATTTAGGGAGAGTTATTCAGCAAGATTGGGAAAGATGATTGGTGTTTCACTCCCAGGGAATTTAGTTTCCTTTTCTTCGTCATAAATAGCCATGATAGGAAGGGCTAGGAAGCAACTTCCTGCATCTGTGACACGGAGCCAGATATTTTATCACTTCAAGCTGTGAGGTGGAGCACCCCCAACTGCAGCCAGCTCTGATGAGCTGTGCTTTCAAACTCTTGGTTATTTCCAAAGGAAAACCCAAATTCATTGAAAAGATATTTTAAGGCTTCTCTGTGAAGCTGACTTTATTATTACCTTCTGGATAGCAGAAAAAAAATGTTTCATGAACTGACATCTGTGCTCCCGGGTAGATTTGGGACACTGGAAACTTGAAAAGGAAGCACTTAGAATAACCTTTGACTGTCTTATGTGACCCTATAGAATTTACTCTGAAAATTGGTTTGATATTTTAGGAGTATGCTTTGGTCCAAATAAAGTTGATGTTTCAAAGATTCACCCATCTCTTCTCTGACACTGATCCTGGAAGGCAATATTTCAAGAGAAAAGACATTAATTCCAGATGTTTACTTGTAGGGTTTCAAGCAAAAGACAAATCAAAAAATGGTTTCATTTAGGTATACATGGTCACACTTAAACCTAATAATGAGCAAAAACTCCTTAACACTTTCCAAAAAGAGGTATTTGAAATGGGAAAAACAATTTAGACTTGAGGCTATCCTTTTTAAAAGATAAACAATATTTAGGTTAAAAGTTTGAATATTAAATGCAGCCCCGTCTTATCCATCTGCTTACATTCTGTTTACATTATATATTGTATCTGGGTATGTGTCCTGTTGGCAAGCCCACGTATAGCTGTGAAGCAGGGGAATTTTCTACCAAATGTTAAATACTTTCAATATTACTCTTACCTGTCACTCTAGAAAAATCAGAGAAAGGGAGTATGCATAAACACAATCATGATTCTTTTTATATAATATAAATTGTATCCCTTGAGATTGATGTAATTGAAGAAGAAAAAAATGCACTTATCATGATACTTTGCTATTTTGTTTACTTTTTGAGAATCTAGTACACTCTTTACATAAAAATAAAACCTAATGTCTACTATTAGGTTTTATTATTTCAAAAAATGAATAAAAGAATTAGGTAAAATTTTAATACATTATCTCTATATTTTAAAAAACAGTTATCTAGCTAGTTTACTAATTAAACAGAATCAATTTTTGAAGTATGTGGCAATTTTTAACAGATTTTANCTAGTTTACTAATTAAACAGAATCAATTTTTGAAGTATGTGGCAATTTTTAACAGATTTTAAAATGCAAATTTAATTATTTAATCCAAATCTCCCTAGAATCAGTCCTCTCTAACATATGACATCTGTTTTCACCCTTCCTTTTTCCATCAGAGATCCACCCATATTTTAAGAAAGCCTCATTTATTATTTGCAAAAAGAGAAGGGGTGCCAATTTTTCAAGTCATGAGATAAGTGATGTGAATAGAAAGAATTACCTTCTTGGTCCCCGCCCACACCTTAAGAGTGTGCACAGAGAATATAGCAGGCATCCTTCCATTCTTAGCAATCCTTGCCGTAAGCAGAAATTTGAAAAATTTATATTTAGGCCAACTATATCACCAAAGGTATATGTCTGGTTCCTCCCCAGCTGACTGGAAATTTGGAGACTTTCACAAGTAGGACATTAGAGTCAATTTTAGCCAGATGTTAGATTGAATCAGTATGTTTTGCAACTTCCATTAGAACATCCTAAAAATGAATTAAAACCAGAATCTAACATGACCAAGTTCTTCTCATGTGGTTTGGCTCTTGAGTCATTGAAATTTGATTTTGAGCAACCCTT